ATTAAGGAATTTGGAGCCCGACCCCACAATATGTAGATCGGAGCCAACTTTTTCTTCTATCAGACGCAGAGTCTCTGATTTGATATCAAGCTCCTTGATCCATTTTGAGTTAACTTTTGTGCATGGCAAGAGGAGGGGATTCAGTTTCATTTTGTTGCATATGGATTTCCAGTTTTTCCAGCACCATTTGTTGAAGATGCTATCCTTCCTCCATTGCATGCTTTTAGCCCCTTTATCAAATATAAGATAGTTGTAACTTTGTGGATTACTCTCTGTGTCCTCTATTCTGTACCATTGGTCCACCCGCCTGTTTTGGTACCAGTACCATGCTGTTTTTGTTACTATTGCTCTATAGTACAGTTTGAAATCTGGTATCGCTATACCGCCTGATTCACACTTACTGCTTAGAGTTGCTTTTGCTATTCTGGGTCTTTTATTTTTCCATATGAATTTCATGATTGCTTTCTCTATTTCTACAAGAAATGCCGTTGGGATTTTGATTGGCATTGCATTAAACCTATAGAGAACTTTTGGTAATATCGCCATTTTGATGATGTTAGTTCTGCCTATCCATGAACAGGGTATATTTTTCCATCTTCTAAGATCTTCTTCTATTTCTCTCTTTAGGGTTCTGTAGTTTTGTTTTTTTAAAAAATATTTATTTATTTTTTAGTTTTTTGGCAGACACAACATCTTTGTTTGTATGTGGTGCTGAGGATCGAACCTGGGCCGCACGCATGCCAGGCAAGCACGCTACCGCTTGAGCCACATCCCCAGCCCAGGGTTCTGTAGTTTTCATTGTATAAATCTTTCACCTCTTTTGTTAGGTTGATTCCCAAGTATTTTATTTTTTTTGAGGATATTGTGAATGGGGTGTTTTTCCTCATTTCCGTTTCAGAAGTTTTGTCGCTGATATACAGAAATGCCTTTGATTTATGCGTGTTGATTTTATATCCTGCCACTTTGCTGAAATCATTTATTAGCTCTAGTAGTTTTTTTGTAGACCCTTTTGGGTCTTCTAGGTATAGAATCATGTCATCTGCAAATAGTGATAATTTAAGTTCTTCTTTTCCTATTTTTATGCCTTTAATTTCTTTCGTCTGTCTAATTGCTCTGGCCTGTGTTTCGAGAACTTTATTGAATAGAAGTGGTGATAGAGGGCATCCCTGTCTTGTTCCAGATTTTAGAGGGAATGCCTTCAATTTTTCTCCATTCAGAATGATGCTAGCCTGAGGCTTAGCATAGATAGCTTTTACAATGTTGAGGTATGTTCCTGTTATCCCTAGTTTTTCTAATGTTTTGAACATAAAGGGATGCTGTACTTTGTCGAATGCTTTTTCTGTGTCTATCGAGATGATCATATGGTTCTTATCTTTAAGTCTATTGATGTGGTGAATAACATTTATTGATTTCCGTATATTGAACCATCCTTGCATCCCAGGGATGAATCCTACTTGATCATGGTGCACAATTTTTTGATGTGTTTTTGTATCCGATTCGCCAGAATTTTATTGAGGATTTTTGCATCTAGGTTCATTAGAGATATTGGTCTGTAGTTTTCTTTCTTTGAGGTGTCTTTGTCTGGTTTTGGAATCAGAGTGATGTTGGCCTCATAGAATGAATTTGGAAGAGCTTCCTCTTTTTCTATTTCCTGAAATAACTTGAAAAGTATTGGTATTAATTCTTCTTTAAAGGTTTTGTAAAACTCTGCTGTATACCCATCCAGTCCTGGGCTTTTCTTGGTTGGTAGTCTTTTGATTTCTTCTTCTATTTCATCCATTGATATTGGTCTGTTCAAATTGTGTGTATCCTCCTGACTCAGTCTGGGCAAATCATATGACTTAAGAAATTTATCGATGTCTTCACTATCTTCTATTTTATTGGAATATAGGTTTTCAAAATAATTCCTAATTATCTTCTGTATTTCTGTAGTATCTGTTGTGATGTTGCCTTTTTCATCCCGTATGTTAGTAATTTGAGTTCTCTCTCTTCTCTTCATTAGCATGGCTAAGGGTCTGTCAATCTTATTTATTTTTTCGAAGAACCAACTTTTAGTTTTGTCAATTTTTTCAATAGTTTCTTTTGTTTCCATTTCGTTGATTTCCTCTCTGATTTTAATTATTTCTTGCCTTCTTCTACATTTGCTGTTGTTTGGCTCTTCCTTTTCTAGGGCTTTGAGATGAAGTGTGAGCTCATTTATTAGTTGGTTTTTTCTTTTTTTGAGGAAGACCTCCAGGCGATGAATTTCCCTCTTAAAACTGCTTTCATTGTGTCCCATAGATTCCAATATGTTGTGTCTGTATTTTCATTTATCTCTAAGAATTTTTTGATTTCCTCCTTTATGTCTTCTGTAACCCATTGATCATTCAGTAACATATTGTTCATTTTCCATGTGATGTAGGATTTTTCCTTCCTTCTTTTATCATTGATTTCCATTTTCATTCCATTATGATCAGATAAAATGCATGGTATTATCTCCATCCCTTTATATTTACTGAGGGTTGCCCTATGGCATAATATATGGTCTATTTTTGAGAAGGATCCATGTGCTGCTGATAAAAAAGTATATCCACTTGATGATGGTTGATATATTCTATATATGTCAGTTAAGTCTAGGTTATTGATTGTGATATTGAGTTCTATAGTTTCTTTATTCAACTTTTGTTTGGAGGATCTGTCCAATGGTGAGAGAGGTGTGTTGAAGTCACCCATAATTATTGTGTTGTGGTCTATTTGATTCTTGAACTTGAGGAGAATTTGTTTTATGAACGTCGCAGCATCATTATTTGGTGCATAAATATTGATAATTGTTATGTCTTGTTGGTGAATGGTTCCTTTTAACAGTATATAATGTCCTTCCTTATCCCTTTTGATTAACTTAGTCTTGAAGTCGATTTTATTCCATATGAGGATGGCCACCCCTGCTTGCTTACGAGGACCGTGTGCGTGGTATATTTTTCCCCAACCTTTCACCTTCAGCCTGTGTATGTCTTTTCCAAACAGATGTGTCTCCTGGAGGCAGCATATTGTTGGATTTGTTTTTTTAATCCATGTTACCAGCCTATGTTGCTTTATTGGAGAGTTTAAGCCATTAACGTTTAGAGTTACTATTGATATATGATTTGTACTTCCAGCCATGTTTGATTATTTATCTTTTTTTTTTTTAATTTAGTTTGTTTCTCCATGATTAATTTTCCCCCAGCCCTCTGTCTTTACTGAGGTACTTCCCACTGATGGTTTTGGTTATTGTTTTTCATTTCTTCCTCGTGTAGTGTTTTGCCAAGATGCTTTGCAATGCTGGTTTTCTGGCTGCAAATTCTTTTAACTTTTGTTTATCATGAAAGATTTTTATTTCGTTGTCGTACCTGAAGCTTAATTTTGCTGGATACAGAATTCTTGGTTGGCATCCATTGTCTTTCAGTGTTTGAAATATGTTGTTCCAGGATCTTCTTGCTTTCAGCATCTGTGATGAAAAATCTGTTGTTAACCTTATTGGTTTACCCCTGAATGTAATCTGCCTCCTTTCTCTTGTAGCTTTTAATATTTTCTCTTTGTTCTGTATATTGGATATCTTCATAACATTGTGTCTTGGCGTTGGTCTACTGTGATTTTGTATGCTTGGTGTCCTGTATGCATCTACAATTTGTATATCCGTTTCCTTTTTTATTTCTGGAAAGTTTTCTATAATTATTTCATTCAGCAGGTTGCTCATTCCCTTGGTTTGAACCCCTATACCTTCCTCTATCCCGATGATGACTCTTAAGTTTGGTTTTTTTATGTTATCCCATATCTCTTGGATGTTTTTCTCGTGATTTTTTACCAGCCTTTCTGAGTTGACTAGACTCTTTTCAAGATGATATATTTTGTCTTCATTATCTGACGTTCTGGCTTCTACTTGCTCCACTCTGTTAGTGATACTCTCATTTGAGTTTTTAATTTGGTTTATAGTTTCCTTCATTTCTAGAATTATTGTTTGATTTTTTTTATAATCTCTATCTCCTGATAAAGATGCTTAATTTCTTCTTTTATCTGTTTATGTAATTCATTTTTAATGTGTTCTTTCACTGTTTGAATTTGCTGTCTCGTATCCTCTTTAAGGTTCCATTCCATCTGTCTAAGGTATTCCTTGAGTTCTTTATTTGACCATTTTCTGATGCCTCTAGGTCCTCCTGAATATTTAGGCTGTCCTGCATTGTTTGTACTCCTTTTCTTCCTTGCTTTTTCATGCTGCTCATGTTACTTCTTGTTCTGTTTGACTGCTGAGTTACTGTGTACTCCTATAAATTTATTTGATGCTGTTCCCGCCGGTTTCAATGGAGTTATCTCCTCCGCCGCATTCTGGTGACGTCAGTTCTCTGCCATGGTGGTATCCCATGCAAATGGCGACAGTTCGTTCCCTTTGCCGGGTGACCAATGCAACGAGTGGGTCCTGACTGGCTCTCCCAAGCCCCATTTCAATCCTGTGGCCACTGCCTATGAAGGCTCGGTTGGCATTAACCTCCGTAGTTTCAGAAGGGCCGACCAGTTGTTTCAGCGGGATCGTTTAGTGCTGAGTCACAGCAGTTTGTCTGCGAGAAGCAGGAGAACGGGAGCTTGAATTCAGCCGATCCGGGTTCGGTGTGTGTTCTGAGAGGCCCAGACTGTTCGCCCCAGATACACATCAGCTCAGCATTGCATAGTGATCCTGAGCAAACAGCATTTAGATGGTTTACGACTCCCTATGCCCGCGCAGCTGAAGAGGTCAGAGACTTGATCTCTCTGTGCCCGCCACCATGTAGGATCTCATGTTTGTTTATTTTTCTAACTACTATTTTTTTTTTGGAAACCACATATTGAAATAATTTCATTTTATTATTCATCAGCACTCAGAATAGTTCTATGCTCAAAGTCTGTTTTTTGCTTTTCTGTCTAATTTGTTAGATTTCTTTTCCTCTGATGTAATGTACACTTCTCAAAATTCATTTGGGAATTCAGATTCTTTCTTCCTTTTCCCTTTGTAGGTATGCTGCTACCAAGTCTCATCTTGCTAGAGAAAACAAAATGCTTCACCAAGTCCATGATTCAATTGAAAAGCCTCTCTGGCCAACTCCAGGTAAATCAGATTCAGCCTATTTGTTTTTTGTTTTTACAATCAAAATACTATAATAATAAATTAAATTTTTTTTTCAGCTCAAATACATTTGAATACAGGGGGCCTAATTCTTGTGTTCTCCTCTAAGATTACTTCAACTTAGGGATGGGGATATAGGTCAGTTGGTGGAGTGCTTGCCTCACATGGGAGGTGGCAAAGTGTCAATAGGTCTGCATTCTCCTATGGTGACTTAAATGGGGAAGAATCTGCCTTCAAATGCAGTACAGTTATTGACAAAATTCCTTTTCCTCTGTCTGAGGACTGAGAGCCCTGGAGTTTTGCTAAGTGTGTGCTGGAGGCTTCTCTCAGCTCCAGAAGGCCACCCAACATTTCTTGCCATGTGGGCTTTCCCAGCGTGGCCTCCTACTTTGTGAAGTCAGCAAGGAGAGTCTTTAGGGAAAGTCAGATACTGAGATGGCATCTTATGTAATGCAACATAATCATGAGAACCTTTGCATAGTTTATTGGTTAGAAGCAAGTCATAGGTCCCACCACGCCTAAAGGAAGGGGATTTCACAGAGGGTGTACTCCAGATTGAAGGATCCCGTGAGGCCACCTTCGAGTCTGTCCGCCACACAAGCTGTCATCATTGTCTCTTATTTTATTGTGAAAAAGTACTTTTACTAGTTCTTCAAATACAATATAAAGATTGAAGGAAAGAGGAAAGGCACACACAAAGGAATAGGGGAAAGTGAGCATACACATGAATGAACAGCACTTTTTCCCTCATAGAATAGTCAGACCTGGCATAATAAATGGTGGGGAAAAAAATCATGAACTAAGAGTGCAGAAATTACAGTGTTAACTTATAAATCTACTTAGGTTCTTTCTCTTGCTTACTAAGTCCTAAATATTTTCATCCTTTTGTTTCTAATCACTCTCTTTTTGAAATTTACATGAGGAGAAAATGCAAAAAATGAAAAATCAAATGATTTCACTCACCCCTGAACCCAAATCCAGAAGGATGCTTGGTCCCACAAGTGTGTGACCATTGTCATGGAACCCATTGTATTTTATTGATTCATTTTTCAGCCAAGTGTGTTTTTCTGAATTCACCTTTTGGTTTCAATATGTCAGTGCTGGAGGTAGCAATAAGAAGTTACCCAAAGAGATCAAGCTATCTCCTTTTACTATCCAAATTGGAATGAATACCTTTGAATAAAACCCAAGAGTAGAAAGCAGATCTGGCATTCATTTAAAATGACATGATTCAATTTTACAGTAAATTACATAGTAATATAAATTTTGAATAATTCTGAGAATCATACTGTTAAAATGCCTTATAAAATCTATATTTTGTTTCCTTTATGTCTCTTTAACTGCTGGTCTCCTTTGATGAGTAGTGGGCTCCTTGAGGAAAGGGTCTGCTTTCCTCTCAGTCTTCATGGCACAGTACCTGTCATAGAGTAGCTATTTAGTGATCAAAGCAAATGAACTGATTATGACAGAAAGAAATACAGCTGTCATATTTTAGCAGCCCTGTGATTTTGGAAAAAATGGAATGAACTCATAATGTGTGGGCAAAAGATAGGTAAGCTGGATGGAAGAACAGTTTAAGGAATGTCCAGAAACTGAGTAGATCTTCAGTACTGAGCTTTGTCCTCTTTGCAAATGGCAGACCATTCTTTGCATCTACTCTGGAAAAGACTATTCCCAAGAGGTTGTGTTAAACTGGATTATCATTCAGAAATATCCATTCCTGCTCCACCTCCCTGACAAAATAAGCTTTGCCTCAGAGCGTGTTTTGATAAATGGAATATTAGTGAGCACGCTGTGCCCAGGGTTTGGAAATGGTGTGTAGGACTTGGCTTGCTCTTTCATTTTTGCTGTCATCATCACAATAGCATGTGTGGACTAGCTCCCTGATCACAGAGAAAGACGTGAGGTGTGGAGCCGAGCTTTCCCCACCAAGTTTGCCAGACATTCCCCTGCCAAATAAGCCAACCCCATCTGACCTACAGATGCGTGAACTAAAGGAATACTTATCATTGTATGTCACTAAAATTTTGTGGTTGTTTATTAGATAGCAATAGTGAGCTTGTATAGAATATCAAAGGGAAATATGACTCAGAGAAGGAATGAATTTTGTGTTCTTTTACAGGGAGATTTAGCATGTCATAGTCTGCCATTGAGAAGACTTTCCTAAGATTCAGGAGATGGGAGGGAAGAAGGGGACATTATGCTTGGGAAGTTATGCATATCGGGCAAGGTGACTTCCTCAGACACAGCTCTTTCATTTATCTTTTCACAAAGTCCATCTTCACAGACCTGGTGGCTCCACAGATGTCTTCAGGAATTCCTCATGTTGCCCTATCTTGGGTAGCTGTATGCATGTAGCTCCTTGTACTCCTTGAACGCCTCCTCTCCCCACTCAAGCCCATGAGTCAGGCTAAAGTAGTTGCTTATAGTTCTCAGATTTTCCAGCTGTAGCCTTCCAGACCAGCCCTTCCATGGTCCTCTCGCACCCAGATAATGCCGAAGTCTTGTACTAAACCCTGACTCTCATGGTGGCTCTCTTTTCCTAACTGAACCCAAACTGATAATAGGAGTGAATGGAAATAAGCCACTTGGCAATAACCAGAGCCCAATCAGCATGAGTTTTAATATCTATACTAACTAAATTGTTCCAAGATTAATAATAATAAGATGCAGCCTTTCCAGAATCTATTCTGTGGAAAGCATACAAAATATAAGGCAATTAGAATGAGTATCTTCGTGGCCTATTTTATGAACATAATAACAAGTTCCCACCTACCCTGTTGTGCTTCTGAAGATGTTTTCCTTTATAATCAATTGGGACTCAGTAAATAAAGGTCCAATAAATGAACTAGCAAAGAATAAAAAAAAAAGATTGAGCAAAAAGGAAAGAATGATTTGTGACACAAAGTCTGTTTTAAAATGCAAAATTTAAAAAGTTGAGCCAAGTTGATTGCATTCACTCAGGTGATCTTCATCATTATGTGACAAATCCAGGAACACTTCACGTTGCTTTTCCTGCTATGTGCATTAAATTTCTGCTTTTCATCTTTCTCACCATAGATAAAGTTTCTACAGATTCACATGCTGGAGATGATGATATAGATGCAGAGTCCTGGGAAAATGAAGTGGATGACCTGGTTGCCTGGACCAACACTCTCAGTGTAGATAATTTAGAAGATGAGACCTAACACTTCAGGATTTAAAAAACAAACAACCTTAACCTTAGCTCAGTTGTGTGGAGCAACTTTGGGAGACTGTCAGAACTTGGTTTCTGTTTGTTTGTTTTTCAGGGTGATCAAGCAAAAATTTTAAAAAGGCAAATATAAATTAATGAACATGTTGCTTAGAATTTTGAGCTTTGCTTTGTTTAGAACTAAGCCCAATTAATGGTATTGATACCGGTGTTGAGAATCAGGCCTGAGTCCCATTCCCCCCTTGTTGAAGATTGAATACCCTTGAAATGCCAAGGCAAGTGCAGAAAGGATAGGAGAGAGAGAGAGAGAGAGAGAGAGAGAGAGAGAGAGAGAGAGAGAGAGCACTCTACAGAGGAGGGGGTTCAAATTGCCTTAGTGAGGGTGACCTGCCCCTTTTATCCTTTCTTCTAATGCTCACTGCCTATCTTGCCTACATGGCCAAAATTGGGAAAGGAGCCTACAGGGGTGCCTCAATTCCCTGGAGGCAGGTAGCCTTGGCAACAGATTGGAGGAGGAGGAAGTGCTCTAGAGGTATTAGGATTTTATTTCCTCTTGAATCAGCTCCCTATTCCTGATCCAATCATCATTACCTACACTGATTGTCCTTTTGCCCCTGGCCTCAATCCCCCTTCTGAGAAAGGAACCCTTGGTGCCGTAAGGGGAAATGGACAATGACTGCTCTGGCTGCTTCAGGCTGAGAGGAGGTGATGTAGAGCAAGCAGTTTGGGTTTCCCTTTTAGGAATGTTTTGGGCCTGTCAAGTGGTCTGTGGTAAAAGTCTGGTTCTGAAAGAAGAGACTATAAAGTGATCTGGAAGATGAGTGCTTCTATGAGAGAAACAAGAAGTCATGAGTATTGGAATGAGATTAATACAAAATAAATGTCACACACATCTGAAACATGTCAATGAATATTAGCCTCGTATCCTGTCTGTGCTATGGGTGATGGCCTGTTATCTCAAATTAATTCTGGTTGTTATATTAGAAGTTGTACTTTTTGTAAGGCATTAACAGACAATAGTTATAAAGTTTACAAGAAAAAATTAAAATCAAATTAACAAGAGTAAAAACACTGAGTTTGTCTAATAGCTATGAACCAAGTAATATAATTTTTATAATCCCAAATCTATACTTCAAACTTTAGTTTGAAGAACATCAGCTTAGTAAAATGTTCTTCTAAACTTTGTATTTTAAAGACTTAAATACTTGGAAAATATAAATACAACTAGTACACAAAGAAGCCAGTAACAGCACCACAGTCACACTGATATTCTTATATTAACATGAAATGTCTCACATGAAAGACATTCTGATCCAGAAACATTTTTTTACTTCTACTTTCATGCTAAAATACATTTCCCTACCTAGAACCTTCTTATATTTCTTTTCTAACTATTGGCCCATTTTTAAATTCACATTTTGAAACAATCCTTAGAAAATTTCTGAATTTAACAAGTTACTGCACTGTAATAATATGATCTACTTTATATTTTATAGTACTTTAATTGAAATCCAACTGAAACCGTTTGTAATCTTTATATGTAGAATTACACCTGATAGAATCTTAACTCTTAGTTGTTGATGAAGACACAAAAACAAAGCATTCTTAAACCTTTTTCCATTTACAAATTTATGAAACTCATTTAATGTTTAAATATGTTACCTTATGGAATTTAAAAAGTCAAGAGTACTTGATTTGATATTTAGTAGTTGAAGTTTTAGCATTTTAACTTCACAGATTAATCAGATATGTCCTCTAACAAACACATTTATGAAGATTCATCTCATGCTGTTAAATTTAATTTTAACTGCAAAAACAAAAATATCAGAAAAGTATTGTTAAGTATTAACCATCTCTTCCCTGTTAAAGAAAAATTCTAGAACCAATAGATGTCACATTCTAGACATTTTATAGAAACTACACTTCATTTATTGCCTGATCACTTAGAAAAACTTGTGAGTTAACAATTTTAAAAACATCTTTACTCTCATATGTTTACCCAATTTAAATTGAACTACTTTTAAAATGAACTAAAGGGTATTTGGATCCATTTCTCATTTAAATTTTGATTTTTGAACACTCATTTATATACCAATTTTGATACCACATACATCATATATGGACACAGGACATATGTAGACATAACAATACAATACATAGGTTTACATACATACATAAAGAGATGGGAAACAAAGATCTTGTAGCTTTTCATAGGTAGATCTCCACAGGTAGCAGACAATGCTTCAGATGTTTATTAAAGCCTCTATTAGATTTAACCTATTAGAAATTAAAATAGAGTCTATTGCTGAGAGCCATAGCCAAGTAGGAATGATGCATGGCATTTTTGGTTGAAAGGTGATGCCAGCAAGCCATTGAGATGATAATGATTGTGTTAAGATGTGCATTCAATTGGAGATTAGACCCCTGCTGTCTGCCTTGGCCTGCTACTTGGAGCTCTCACAGGACTCCCAGAGAGTTCCCATTGGTTGGGGAAGTGCAGTAGGAGGGAATTCCGGAGGAGGGATTTCCTGTTGGTGTAGTGTGTCCCGGGAGAAGGCCGCGTGCGTGGCATTTGCAGGAGTTTTGGAAATAAAGTTTGTTCCTGCTTGAGTGGCTCGTGATTTTGTGCCCAGCCAGACTGCGGCAGTCTATCAGAATTTTACATTTTGACTTAAATATATCAGTTCAGTTGGATGCAGGATGTAAAGTCTGACAGCCATGGTGGACACTGAAATCAAAGGTTCAGGTGGCCATTTATCCTTAATGGATATCAGATATATTCCCAACATACATGTCTATGTCCTTCTTAGGATTTTGTGAAAGGAGATTTTTCCATGTATTTGAGAAATTGACTCTGAACAAGATGGAGTGTAACAACATCTATAGTTAGATAAAATAAGACTAATCAGAAAAATATATTAATTTAGGTGTTCAGAATCAAATGTGAATTCACCGCAAAACAATGAGCTCAAAAATATAGAAATTAAAACAAACAACAACAACAACAAAAACCCACAAGAGTTCTAAAACACAGCCATAATTACTCTAGTAAAGGAGTATGCAAAACATCATTATCAGATCAGAGTGCTCTTTTAGGTATTTAAAGAATGTGAGAGTCCTGAAATCCTTAGATAAATATTCTCAAGGTAAATAAGACTTGTATATATGAGATCATTCCATTTTCCTCCCTGTGCTGTAGTGTTTATGGAGAAACTTGTTAAGAAAGCAGGTGGTAGAGTGCAAGAACAGATAAGATAACCAGTCATTTAGGTTCCACAGTGGCTTGAATTTAAAAATGACATCTTCCCCCCCCCGCCCCCCATTTGGTCTCAAACTGGTTTTGGATAATCGCTTCTGTAGCTTACATTTCAGATGCAAGCCTTGGAAGGGGGGGCAGAATCGATCCATCTGGCAGAAGGCTAACAAGTAAGGAAAGCCACTGTATTGAGACTGAAAGGCAAGACCTTATGCATAGGGCATTTTAACTATTTTTTCTTTAGTAAAATCAGTCTCTTAATCCTGTAGTAATATAACTTATGTTTCCTCTGGATTCTATTTCCCATTCTTGCAGTTGGTAATGAGACCACATTTGAATGCAGAAAATCAGCCTACATCTCCTTTTTCCAACTGTGATTACGTCCTTTCCCAGGCCTGGCAGAAGAAAATGAGGCACTTTTTTGAGTAGGTTAAACTGCTCCCAGTTTTTCAGTATTCAGGCTAGTGGTGAACCCGGCATAACTGTTGAGAAAGACCTTCCCATTTTAGTTCATATCTTGTTAGGGACATCTCTGTAGAAGAGCTTGTGAAGGACAACAAACCCATCTCTCACTACCTGGTCCTGCCAAATTTATTGCTGCCTTATTGGCAAGAATGAACAAAGTCCCAATTTGCCAAGGGACGAAGACCTTGGAGGATTCAGACTCACTGGCATAACTGACCTCCTCCGTCACTATTAAACTTCCAAATGTGATGACCCATGGCGGTTGGAGGAGGCAACATATGATGGAGCATTTTCCTCTGCTCTGTGGGCTAAAGGAATCTCCAGAGGCTAAGGACATCTAGTGGTTTATTGGACACTTAATATTTTTTCTTGAAGTAGCGAATTGAAAACACCTTCTTTTTTTGCAGTCAAAGAATCTCAGGAGCACAGAAACAACAAGGAAGAGAATCCCTAAAACTTATAAGGGATTAATATGTTAATATAGAGAATCTATGCATGTCCTTATGAACAATTCCATTTAAAATGTTCCTCTCTCAAAGCTAGAGTCTGATCGACTAGAGTCTATTCAGGGAAGGGAGGAGAGTGCTTGGGAGGAGAGAGTGTGGGAGAGTACAGTTGGGCTCAAATGGAGGTATTTGTCACTGGGAGGTTTGCAGAGCATCTTTTCATTGCTCAGTCACCCTAAGATACTCTATTAGTGCTACCAGGAGGTTGGTACAACCCACCCTCCCCACACACTTCAGGGAGGGGCCTGAAGACCAGGAAAAGATTCCTTCTGGCCAAAGCGACCAGCTCAAAGTGAATCAAGTCTTCACTGACTCAAGGGGAGCATCTCTTCTCTACTACATAAAGAGGAGCAAGACCCCATCTATATTGGCTTCAGGTAAGCGAGTCTGAATTTACGCTGGCTCAAGGTGAACAAGTATATACAATGAGCAGGAGAGGGAGGTACAGTGGTCCAGGCCTTGGAGAGGATGGCTGCTGGGCTCCAGCCATAGCCCTGAGGCCTTCCTCTCGAAAACAAAACATACAAACAATAACAACAACAACAACAACAAAACACAAATAGCCTTTTTTTAATCTTTGAAACATCAATTTTATTACACAATTTTTGAAAAAACAAGAAATGAAGAATAAATTTCTCCTGGTGCATGGAAGAAAGGACAAAAAGCAGGGTAGGGGGAAGTGTCCCAGGGAAGTCTCTATGATGTGTCTTCACAGGTGGGGGCAGAGGAGTCTTCTGGTGGATGCAGATGCACTCCTGCCTGGAATCCTTGCAGAGTTGCCTGAGCAGGTCAGCAATGTCCTACAGGACCATATAATGGTCCGTGAAGGTGGGCTCATAGCAGGAGCTCTGCCCCTTGAGCACTACACAGCTCTGACTACTCTTAAAGCTCATCCTAAACTGGAACAAGGATGCTAGCTAATAATAATAATAATAACTCAAAACAAAAACAAAAAAATAATAAGAAAAAAAAACAAAAACAATATCCAAAGACCACAACCACCAGCCACCAACTACCACCAAATATGTTAACTATCTGGGAGTCTGACAGGTCACTACTAAGAGCTTCCTATACTTATGGACAAAAAAATACAGCTGCAAACACACTCTCTTATATACCTGCAGTTTGAAATTCCCTCACAATGGCTTCTTCTGATCAGAGCAAGAAATGAGCCAGTAGGACCTAGGCATTATCCCCAGTGGTCATCTCACTTCTGGGCCTCCAGACCTTCTCCACTTTAATAATCAGAATAAGAAAAAACTGTGGAAGGTTTTTTTGCTTTAGTGGGTTATGGAGACAGATGTTTACTTGTTTAGAAACTAAAATTTGTAGGTTACTTCAGTGGTCTTTTCATTTCCAGTCTGAAAATCTGTAACAACTTGGTGGCTTTGGAAGACCTCATATCTACACTCAGGTTTCTGCATCTTTGCTTGTCTGAACTGAGCAGCTTTCCTCCACTGGGCCCTTGTCCCATGATGGACTACCTCCACTGGGCAAAGCAATGGAGTCAGCCATCTAGGAACTTCAACCTCTGGAACTGTTAACCCCAGAGAAGCTTGTCCTTCTCCAAGTTGTTCCTAATTAAAACACATCAATTAATTAAATTAATTAAAACTAATTAAATACATCATCATTGCACTCAGCTTGACAGAGTCACGTGTGTTTGCGCGTGCGCAGAGC